ACGACCCATCTTCAGTGCTCTTACTGAGGGAAGGAGGTTGTTGGCCAAAATCTCACGATACATGGCCCCATCCATCCTTCCCACAATATGGTGCAGTCGTCCTGTCCCCTTTGCAGAAAAGCATCCCCAAAGAATGATGTTTCCACCGCCATGCTTCACGGTTGGGATGGTGTTCTTGGGGTTGTACTCATCATTCTTCTTCCTCCAAACATGACGAGTGGAGTTTAAACCAAAAAGTTCTATTTTTGTCTCATCAGACCACATGACCTTCTCCCATTCCTCCTCTGGATCATTCAGATGGTCATTTGCAAACTTCAGACGGGCTTTGACATGCGTTGGCTTGAGGAAGGGCACCTTGCGTGCACTGCAGGATTTTAATCCTTGACGGCGTAGAGTGTTACTGATTGTTTTCTTTGAGACTGTGGTCCCAGCTCTATTCAGGTCATTGACCAGGTCCTGCCGTGTAGTTCTGGGCTCATTCCTCACCTTCCTCAAGATCAATGATGCTCCACGAGGTGAGATCTTGCATGGCGCCCCAGACCGAGGGAGATTTTCCGTTATTTTGTATTTCTTCCATTTTCTAATAATTGCACCAACTGTTGTTGCCTTCTCACCAAGCTGCTTGCCTATTGTCCTGTAGCCCATCCCAGCCTTGTGCAGGTCTACAATTTTATCCCTGATGTCCTTACACAGCTCTCTGGTCTTGGGCATTGTGGAGATGCTGGAGGCTGATTGATTGAGTGTGTGGACAGGTGTCTTTTATACAGGTCACGAGTCCAAACAGGTGCAGTTAATACAGGTAATGAGTGGAGAACAGGAGGGCTTCTTAAAGAAGAACTAACATGTCTGTGAGAGCCAAAATTCTTACTGGTTGATAGATGATCAAATACTTATTTCACACAATAAAATGGAAATTAATTATTTAAAAATCATACATTGTATTTTTCTGGATTTTTGTTTTAGATTCCATCACTCACATTTGAAGAGTACCTATGATAAAAATTAGTCATCTACAAGCTTTGCAAGTGGGAAAACCTGAAAAATCAACAGTGTATCAAATACTTCTTCTCCCCACTGTACATATGACATATATACATATGACATATATATATATATATGACATATATATATATATGACATATATATATGTCATCCTCCATTGGGAGAGTTGAGGGTTCATTTCCACCAACAGTCACATGTTGAAGTGTCCCTGAGCAAGACACTGAACCCATCATTGCCTCCGATGTGTGTCCCATCTGTGTTTGAGTGATCTAAAGCTCTGATTAATCTCTACAGATTTAGATTAGCTCTGTAGAGATCTGGTAGAGTGATGTGTGGATGGGTAAATGAGGGCACAGGTTGTAGTGTAAAAGTCCATAAACATTTAACTGTATGAGGACTGGAGTTGTAAAATAAACCTGAAGCTGAATCAAGTGTGTTGCAGAGATTTATTATGCAGTGAGTGGGACGTTTGTCCACCGAACAATAAACACAGACAGCACTACCTTTTTCAATTTTTGCCAAGTCTTTCAGTGTGTGATGCATTCAGGGTACTTCGCATCATCCCTCACCGTGTGTATGTGTGCGTGCGCGTGACGTCACCAACATGGGGCGGGGCTCCTCCGCTTCTGGTTGCTGTTTGTGGTGCTGAAACGACGCCCGTGCCTCTCCTCCGGTGCTGGTTCCTGCAGCGTGCTGCTTCAGAACCGTGCAGACATGCTGTTTTAGCGCACGGTTCGGCATGGATTAGTTGGGGCCGGAGGAGCGGTATGGCTTCACCGTGGCGTCCCGTCCTGCTGGCTGCTCTGGCGGCCAGCCTCTGCTCCTCACCTGCCCTCGGAAGCAGAAAATTCGGTAAGCATCTTTTTTTTTTTTTTTGTCTTTCGCTCCGTCTTTTTTTTTTTTTTTTTTTTTTTTTTTTTGTCACCGTTTCAGTCTAAACTTTTGCTTCAGGAACACAAATATAAAAATGTTCAGTTTCTTTGCAGAAGTTAAAAAAAAAAAAAAAATCCCAAAGTTGAGTTCATGCAAAGCAGTCTGAAGATCCATCAAGAAAAGTTACGTAATCTCTCAGGCCTAATGGACAAAATGTTTCCCCCGAGCTCCTTTTTTTTTCTCCTTTATTTCCTCCTTTTCTCCACACGGACTGTTGTTTATCCGAATCCCATCAGTTGCATCCAGAATATCGTGTCGCTCACGGATGGCGATCATATTACCCGTGTCTGTTAGCAGAGTATTCCCTGAACAACTGAATGGATTTTGATGAAACGCTCAGGAATTGATAATTGTATTTACATCTACAAGTGATTAACATTTGGAGTCAACCGGATTCAAGATGGCTGCCAGAGCTAACAGAACCTTAAAAAGAGAAAAATTGTCATAACTTGATCAATTTGAAAGATATCCATATAAAATGTGGGTTGGAAGTAGCTGAGCATGATCCCCAACACATATTCTGAGCATTAACAAACATGTTTTTATTTAAATAGTTGCCATTAAAGATATGAAGTCATACATGTCTGTCTGTTAGCAAAATATTTTATGAACCACTGGATGGATTTTAATGAAACTTTCAAGATATAATCACTGGATGAACCTCAACTGATTATCTTTTCGTGCCAAGCCCATTTAAGGTGGCTGCCATAGCCAAGTGCTTTTACAAAACACAAACATGCCTATAATTCAAACAATTGAACCGATATTTTACTTAAAGTTTGTGTTGGTAGTAGCTAAGAGTAATTCACAACACGTACTTTAAGTGCTATTGATTGTGGGAGGGCTTTGCTTGAAACTTTAACTGTTTGAGTTACTATTTGTTAGCAAAATATCACATATAACACTTGGCAGATTTTGATGAAGTAATTGGATGTTTGTCTTGTACTTATTAGCTTTTGGAGTCGTGAATTCAGCTAATAAATACAAAAATGATTGTAACTCGTTGAATTTTGCAGATATTGAGCTGAAACTTGAAGTGGTAGTAGCTGAGAGTCATCTCTTGTACTCTGATATTTATAAAGTGACGAACCCTACAGAGCATCTGGTGTGTAAAGCGTCTCTTTGTTACAACCAGCCTTGAGAATCTCGTCGGTTCTCACTGCAATTGTTTTTTGTTTTTTTTACACTTATCTTCACGCCTCACGATCTGCAGCCTGAGCACACGACAATAAACTTTATCACGAGCTAATATACGGTAGGTTTCCGGCTGGCTGTAAATATATATGATGATTCATACCTCCAGACACCGAGCTGCATCACATTGGATATTTTTAGAAGCAGGAGGGTGTCCTTTCCATTTTATCTTACCTGTGTTTTTTAATCGAGAACTCCCTTTAATCTGGGCTCATCAAGGCTGTAGGTTAATCGTTTTAATTGCATTTTTTCTTTAGGCAAATTGGTTAATTTCAAAATTTTAGTTGTTTTTCAGTTATTGATTTTACAAATATGTGAGTGATATTACTAATACAAGGGGTAAAAGTTTAATTACATATCCAACAAACTGGTCTCATTTTTAGACTCTTTATGTTTTATTGCCTAGAAGTGAGATACCTGATGCATTTTTCCACAAATAAAGAAAGGACTCTCACAGTCCTGCATAGCTTACTGTTTAAATTTTTTTCAAAATGGACAAAACTTTATATTTTTCCTTCTTTGCATTAATCTGGTCTTTTATATGAAATTGTGAGAGAAAAAAAGTAACAATCATTCGATAGTTTTATTTTTATAATGTTGCTCTTATTGGCTGGGAACATCCCCTCCAACAAACTTGAAGTGGTCCATGAGCCACCAGTTGATAATCACAGTTGTAGCAGGTTTTCCACTCTGGACACATTTTATTTAGTGAAGGCGCAGAAATGGCTTGATCTTAAAGGTTGCAGACGTCTGAAGGATCACAGAGGAATTTCCAATTGTAACCTTTAAGTACTGTTGTATATTTGTTGTACTCTAAAAGATTAAATCTTTAATGTGAAGGTTGCTGCAACCGCAGGCCTAGGTGGGTTCAATGCGGGTGGATTTTGGCAACAAAATAATGTGCGAGGCCTAGAATACAACTTGCGAGTTGTGCAGTGAATTTCAAAAAGTCACTGCACAAAACATAGCCGCACGGTTCGCTGCTTGCCTGAACTCAAACATTTGAAGTTAAGTGAGAGTGCAACAGAAAATTCATGTATTTTCTCACATTTCTGAGTCTATTCATGAGCTAAGCTAAGTTCCTGCTAACTTTAGGCAAATGCTATTTATCTAATTTTTGAAAACACTTTTGACACTGCCTCTAAAGTGCATGAAAGCTATGAAATTTAAATGTCAAACTATTTATTAGGCATATGATCACAGCCTGTGATTAAATGCCACAGTTAGCCACTAGTGATGCTAAATATTTATGAACTGTTATATGTTGTTGGTAAGTTGCTTTTTCCATCCATCCATAATGTTCCGCTTGTTCCGAAATCAAGTTGCGGGGGCAGCAGCTTGAGCAGGGAGGCCCAGACATTTCTTTCCACAGCCACCTCTTCCAGCTCCTCTGTGGGGAGCCCAAGGAGTTCCCAGGCCAACCAAGAGACATAGTCTCTCCAGCCTGTCCTGAGTCTTCCCTAGGGTCTCCTCCCAGTCGAACATGCCCAAAGCACCTCCCTAAGGAGGCGCCCAGGGAGCATCCTTACCAGATGCCTGAACCACCTCAAGTGTCTCCTTTCGATGTGGAGGAGCAGCGGTTCTACTCCAAGTTTCTCCAGGATATTTGGACTTCTCACCCTATCTCTAAGGATTAGTCCAGCTACCCTGCAGAAGAAACTCATTTTAACCTCCTGTATCCACGATCTCATTCTTTTGGTCACTACCCAGAGCTCATGACCATAGGTGAGGGTAGGAACGTAGACTGACAAGTAAACAAAGAGCTTTGCCTTACAGCTCAGCTCCCTCTTCACCACAACAGACTGGTCTGCAATACTGCGGATGCTGTCCAACTCCCACCCTGACGGGGTCCCAACTTACTACCAGCAATGCGAACCAAACTCTCGCACCTCTTGTATAGAGACTGAACAGCCCATAGCAACGGGCTCCCAATCCCTTACTCGTGGAGCACCCCCCACAATGTACCCCGAGAACATGGTCGAATGCCTTCTCCAAGTCCACAAAACACATGTAGACTGGATGGACAAACTCCCATGATCCCTCGAGGACCCTAGTGAGGGTAAAGAGCTGGTCCAGTGTTCCACAGTCAGGACAGAACCCACATTGTTTCTCCTCGATCTCAGGTTCGACCAACGATCAGACTCGCTTCTCCAGTACCCTAGTTGCTTTTTCTTAATAGCTAAATGATGCTGATGTGAGAGGTAATATGTAGAGCTTATTAAAAAAAATTAAACAACTGAACCATTATTTTTTAACAATTGTGATGTCACAGATTTAGACCATTGCATGTCTTTGGTTATAACAGAGTTGTAGTTGCGATAGATGACGCTTTTGTCCCTGGTTACCCATGACCCAGGAGAAATTTGATAGTCGGCCCATTCCGAGGCCGTCGGGAGTCAGACTCAGATAAGCTTTGATTGTTGTTTTTCTTCAGGCAGACGGATTACTTTTTTCTTTAGCCTTGAGACCATCTGGACGTTCTGGTTCCAAAATGGCCTAATTGTAGGATTCCATTCCACTGATCCATGCTATGAGTCTCCCTCAAGATCGAACCCGCCACACTGACAAGTCCCAGAATCCGCAGGTGGCCTGCGATTCTCATAAATCGCCTCCACCTTACGGTTTAGCTTGTAAACCAGTTGATTTAGAGTTCCTACAGCACGGACCAAAGATTCTCTGCTATCATAATTCCAAATATGTAAACGTCTTCAACATCCTCCTGAGACAGGACTGAGAGGCCCATCAGCTGCCACACTCCCCACGGATCCATGACGTACCCCACAGCGTGCATCTCAGCTAGACATGCATGTTCTCCAGGACCTTGTCGCTTAAATCTGACGGTAATGACAAAATTCTGAATGTTAGTCTTGCACAATCTACTTGCACTCAAAATATGTGTTAGAGATCAGTCTCAGCTACTACCACTCCAAATTCCAAGTCAATATGTGTCAAAATGACGAGCCTTTTTGTGCTTTTTAAGACGACAGCTTTGGCACCCTTATTGAATCAGGTTGACACCCAAAGCTAATCAATTGTAGATGCAAATCCATTGAATACTGTTTGTAATCTCCATTAAGATTCATCTAGTGATCTGTGAGATATTTAGCTAACATACACACACAAAACATTATCATCCATTTTTCCTTTGATGGCATCAGAATAAACGACTTAACACTTTTCCTTCAACCATCATACAACGGGCTGGCAGGTTATTAACTTGTTCAAACTAAGTTAAAGCATAATTTAAATAATGAACATACTGACTACAGAATAGTGTTTAGTCGATGGAAAAATAGCAGAAATTGATTTTGGTATGCTGCAACACTTGAGTGCACTGCACTCAGAATTCCTCTCAGGATCGTTGTTAAAATTCTGTTCGGCATCTCTTTTCTGTTTGCAGAGGTTTGGCGGTGCTCTGAATCCCAAATAACAACCACTGAAAATCCTTCCAAACACACAGTTAGCCATGTTTCACCTCCAAGGTTAGGTTTTATTGATAAGAGGCATGTTGTGCAGATAAAGATCAGTGTAATAAAACATGACTCATACGTACAATTGGATTCCGAAAACGAAAATACATTAATCTTATCGTGCTCCCAAAATAAGGAACACTGAGATTAGCCTGATCCCACAGTTAAACAGTGAAAGTAAATCTTGTGTATCGATTACGTTGATCACCTGAAGCTTTAAAAGATTCAGTCCCTGCTCACCCTAAATCAAATTTA